CACAGGTTCCTGGGGTCTGAGTACCTGGGGCTGGAGGTCTAAGAGATCAGAATCACTGGGGCATAGGGCAATAGGGATTGAGGCAGGGTCAAGGTCACTCACCTCTGGGGGCAGATGCATGAGCAGCACAGCAGCTACAGGGCCCTGAGCCTGGCAATAGCCCTGTTCTGGCCGGTACAGAGTGTAGGCCTTGAGAACCTGCAGCAGCCCCCGCTGTCTGTGCCAGAAGATCTCATTAGGGCTAGCCTCCTAGGCATCCCTTCCCTGCCCTCTGTGGCCTCTGCCCAGGCCATAGTCTCCCTCTGCTAAAGATGTAAATCTGAAGCAGGAGACTGGGCTGAAGCATCTAGCATGAGGACTTGGGGTATCCCTGGGTATCCCTGGCCTCATACCCATGTCCCTGGGGTGACACAAACATCTCGTGCAGAGGAAACTGGCGGTGCAAGTCCCTGCCAATGGTCTCCATCCACTGCGGGTCTCCAGGGGCCACTGCCAACTCCTATGGGTGGTAGGAAGGTGGACGTGAGGGCTCAGGGTGGGAAGGAGCTCTGAGAAGGGGAGGTAAAGATTCTGCCAATTTACTCACCTGATAGGTGCCAGGGTTGTTCTTCTGGCACATCTGGGCCCCGCACAGCAGGGGCCAGCACCGGGCCCGCAGGGCTGAGGGGATGCCCTTCCGGCATTGCATCTTTACCTGTGGGTGAGATCCAGTTGTTGTGTCAGGTCAAGGCCAACCTCTCTTACAGCTTTTCATTGGCCAAGGGCCCGCTAGGCTGGCAGAGGCAGGGCGGATTAAGAGCTGTGGGGACCAATACACAGCCCCCTCTTTCCTCACCTTCTTGTATCTTCGAGACATGGTCTTCTCCCAGTGTGAGGTCATCTCCACCCACTTCATCTCCCGCTGGCGGATGAGGTCTGCTGGGGGTTGGCCAGGCCTGGAGGCACACACAACATAGCATTCCTTGCAACACATGCCTTCCCGTTCTGAGACACTGGGGACCACTGAGGAGTCCTTCAAAGGGATCTGTGGCCCAGGAGCTGCCAATGGTGATTACAGTTAAAGGAGAGGTATTTGGCTTCAGCAGGGACAGAAGCAGGAGAGCCTGAAGGGGAGAGGAGGTGTGTATCGAGGGAGGGCCTATTTGGCTGTCACCCACAACAGAGACAGAGGCAATTCACAGGGGCTGCAGGGGGACAGTGCCCTGGACTGGAAGCTAGAATCTGCTTCTGATCTGCTGTGCAAGGTGGGGCAAGCTTCTGTCTGTCTCTGGGCCTGTTTAACTGGGTAAGGTAAACCTGAAGAAGAGAATGAAGGAGGTACAGATTTCCATCTGGAGCTCTTGGGCTAGATTAAAAGGTGAAAGGTGCAGCTCTAAGGGAGTGTTTAGACCCTCAGAGGATAGAAGAGACATAAGGGACATTGCCTCCACTGGTCTTCTTACTTTAGAATCCCACCTGGGACCTGAGGAGTGACACTGGCTGAGTTCTGGGCTAGTCTCTACAGCCAGACCCCTGGGGTCAGGCCTAACTCCAGAACTCAGTCTCGGTACCCTGTCTCCCTACCCATGCCTCACTTACCCCAGTTCTGCTGAGTTGCCCCCAATGAAGCCATAGCGGTCAGCCTGGCGATATGGACTGGGCCCACTCAGCTCCGAGTCAGACCCTAGAGAGCTAGAATCATCCTGTAGCTCTGATGGCAACACCAGGTCCTCCCCCAGGGCCTGGGCCATTGTGCCCTAGACCCCAGTGTCACAGGCTGCAAGACATACAGAGAACCAGTGTGAGCAGCCAGGAGTTGTCAGACTGAGGCCAGGAATTTCAGTCTCCAGTCCTCAGCCACAGGAGACTAAGCCTCCTCTTTTACTGGGGAGAGGGCTCGGCCTCTGGGCCAAGACCCAGCCTCAGGCCTAGACCGTAGCCCCAGCAGCCCAGCTCACCTCCTTGCTGCACCTCACCTCCTCTTCTCACTTCCTCCTCAGTCTCAGCTTCAGCAGCCTGTTGGGGGCCCCTCCCAGGTGGGGGGGGGGACTCCCCCTTCCTCTATGAGGCTCTTCCTGCTTGCCCCAGTGCCCGAGCCACGAACTCCTCCCATCCACAGGATGCTGGGTGTGATGAGTCCCTTGGCTTGTCAGAGATGATGACAGGCCACCATCAGTTTTGTGGTCACTAGCATATAAAACCCATAGTTTCAATAAGAATTATGCTTTTATGTTTTAGCTTTTTCCTTCATTTTCTTTCTTTTTGGGGAGTGAAGGGGTACTGTCTGGGAACAAGGGTCTCATGTAGTCCTGGCAGGAGATAAACTCTCTCTATAGTTGAGCATGACCTTGAACTTTTTTTGGGGGGGGCGGTTTCAAGACAGGGTTTCTCTGTGTAGCTTTGGAGCCTATCCTGGCACTCGCTCTGGAGACCAGGCTGGCCTCGAACTCACAGAGATCCGCCTGCCTCTGCCTCTGCCTCCCGGGTGCTGGGATTAGCTCGACGACCTTGAACCTCTTAATCCTCCTATCTCCAGATTCCTGAGTGCTAGGGTTTCAGGCACTGGAATTGCAGGTTTATGACACCATGCCTATCTTAATATTTTACTATTTAAAAAAATAATACCTTTTCTCCCCTCTTTTCTTCCAGAACCGGAGATGGAACTAAGGCCTTACACATGCTAGGCAAATCTGAATACTACACAAAGTACTTACAACATGAACGCGATGCAATACTATTACATCATTCACGGAAGAAAAAAAATTGACGTAGCAAGCACCAAGGTAACCTAGACCAAAACATGCTCAGAGTTCAGTAGCAGGTGTCCATGGGTTTCACCACAAGGACCAAGGTGAATGTAGGGCCCGAGTCTGGAGCTCATTATCATTAAGCCTTAGTTTGAGAAGTCAGCGATTAACGTGCACACACCACAATCTCACGTAGGGCTGGGGTGAGAAGAGACTTTTGAGAAAAACAATTTCCACAGTACTTCCGGCCATAACGCCTGTGAACCCGGCAGGGCGATCCCTCCAGGGTGGAGCCAACTCAACCCCGTCCTACCAAACCACGCCCACCACCCAAGCTAGGCTCCGCCCGGCCCCCCTAGACCCTCCGGGCTGTGGCTCTTCCCGTCCAGCGGAGGCGCTAGAGAGCGAGGAACTGCGGGCGCGGCGCGGCGGGGCGGGCAGCCGAGGAGGCGGGGCGCGGGCAGGGGCGGGCGGAAGGAGAGCCAGGCCGGAAGGAGGCTGTGAGAGGGCGGGAGGCAGGAGAGGGCCCGGAGCTGCTGGGATGTCCGACAGCGAGAAGCTCAACCTGGACTCCATCATCGGGCGCCTGCTGGAAGGTGGGCAGGGGTAGGGAAGGTGCGCGCGCGCCAAGCCCAGGCCCTCTCGCCGTCCGGAAGTGGCGCGCGGGCGGGCCTGCGGCTCCCGGGGGCTAGCGTCGCTTGGGCGGGGACAGGCCGTGAAGTCCCGTGGCTACGGCCACCTCCCCGTCCGCGCGCCTCCGCTTTGGAACGCGCTCCGGGCCCGGGGACGCACGCGTGGCCCGGACTCAGGCTAAGTCTGCGAAGCTAGCTGGGAAGAGGTCCCGGAGCAAGGAAGGTCCTGAGAACAGGCGACTCCCTCGGGCCTCCTGGGTGACTGAGGGGGTCGGGTCTTGCCTTTGGAGGCCTAAGGCAGAGGTTTCGGGGCGGCTCCCTGGCAACAGCTGCCCGTGTTGGGGGGGTGACACCCCCACCCTGTCTGCGAGGTCACGGTCCTAAGACCCCATTCCGTACCCAGTGCAGGGCTCACGGCCTGGAAAAAATGTGCAACTAACAGAGAACGAGATCCGTGGTTTGTGCCTCAAATCCCGGGAGATATTCCTGAGCCAGCCTATTCTTCTGGAGCTTGAGGCACCTCTCAAGATCTGTGGTGAGCCCTTGCGTGGAACCTCTTGGCTTCTTGTAAATAGCCCCCACTCCTGCCCCACTACCTGGTTTTCTCCTTCCTTTAGCCCATTGCTGGCCCTGGGCTCAAGTTTAGATCTTGCACCTATCTAGTCTTTTCTGGTTCCTAGGTGACATCCATGGCCAGTACTATGACCTTCTACGGCTGTTTGAATATGGTGGCTTCCCTCCAGAGAGCAACTACCTCTTCTTGGGGGACTATGTGGATCGTGGCAAGCAGTCTTTGGAGACCATCTGCCTGCTGCTGGCCTATAAGATCAAATACCCTGAGAATTTCTTTCTGCTTCGTGGGAACCACGAGTGTGCCAGCATCAACCGCATCTATGGCTTCTATGATGAATGTGAGTAAATGTTGCAGGCTTCCCAAAGCTACGTTCCCTGCTCTTCATGGGAATTCCCTGGTCTGGTGCCAAAAGACCCCCTAATGTACTATGAGCCCTGTAAAGTCCCCTTCTCATGCTGTCATCCCTGACACTCAGGAGGGATCTGGTGAATGGAGGCTTTTAGAGGACTGCCCATTTGCTGAAGTTCCCCCCACAATCCTGCCTGATGACACCCCCGCCCCATTACATCCCTTAAGCATTTAGGTTATCTGTAAGGTGTCTGTATATAAACCATACGTTTTTGGTTTGGCCTGATTAGTGGGACTAGAGTGGGTGCCAACATCGAGGTTGGGCCACACTGGGCCATGTATTAGAATTCTGGAAGGCAAATCGGGTAGTGCAGGGGGAGGGACTTAAGCTTACCTTGCCTTTCAATCTTTTCTCCCAGCTATGCCATAGTAACCCACAAAATACCCTGCAGCACACAGAAAGCTAGGCTGAGGGTTCCGTGAGGTGGGTGGTCTTCCTTACAAGCCATCTCCTTCTGTGCAGGCAAGAGACGATACAATATCAAACTGTGGAAGACTTTCACTGACTGCTTCAACTGCCTGCCCATCGCAGCCATTGTAGATGAGAAGATCTTCTGCTGCCATGGAGGTAATAAGAGTTGTTGTGGAGCCTGTGCTTGGAGTTCTTGGGCCACATCTTTACTTGTAAAGTTGTTAGCAGAACTCTTCTGTTTTCTGGAATAGCTGTCCTTGAATCTCATCTTGGATGTCACTTATTGTAGGAAGTCATTCACACCCCCCGTTTGGCTGCACTCTTTCCTGTTGTGGCATTTGGCATCCTGTAGACAACTCACTCATCTCTTTCCTCCATGGAAGTGTGCTCTTTGCACTTTTAAAAAGCTGAGGGATAATGAATTCTACCTGCCTGGACTTTAGTACAAAAGAGCACCACCATTGGTGGTGGGGAGGGGAGGGCTGATTCCTAAGAGCTTCTGGGCATGGGAGAGTCCTTGCTTTTCACCTTTTCCCTCTAGGCCTGTCTCCAGACTTGCAATCCATGGAGCAGATTAGGCGTATTATGCGGCCCACAGATGTGCCTGACCAGGGCCTACTGTGTGATCTCCTGTGGTCTGACCCTGACAAGGATGTTCAAGGCTGGGGCGAGAATGACCGTGGCGTCTCCTTTACCTTTGGGGCTGAGGTGGTGGCCAAGTTCCTACACAAGCATGATTTGGACCTCATCTGCAGGGCGCATCAGGTGGGCTGGTAGCCCTGAGGCAGGCTGGGGTGGCCAGCTGCTTAACTTGTAGACCAAACAATTCCTATCTTTGCCCAGGTTGTAGAAGATGGCTACGAGTTCTTTGCCAAGAGGCAGTTGGTGACACTCTTCTCAGCTCCCAACTACTGTGGCGAGTTTGACAATGCTGGTGCCATGATGAGCGTGGATGAGACTCTTATGTGCTCCTTCCAGGTGGGTGTGGGGATGAGGCTCTTAGACTGCCTAGCTCAGCACTAGGAGCCTGACCAGCCCTTTCTCTTTCAGATCCTCAAGCCCGCTGACAAGAACAAGGGGAAGTATGGGCAGTTCAGTGGCCTGAACCCTGGGGGCCGTCCCATCACCCCACCCCGCAACTCTGCCAAAGCCAAGAAGTAGTCTCCATGTGCTGCCCTTCTGCCCCAGATGATGGATTATTTGTACAGAAATCATGCTGCCATGGGTCACACTGCCCCTCAGGCCCACCCATCATGGGGAACACACAGCGTTAAGTGTCTTTTTCCTTTCTTTTTTTAATGAATCAATAGCAGCGTCTAATCCTCCAGGGCTCCCTCCCACCAGCACCTGTGGTGGCTTCAAGTGGAATCCTGGGGCCAAGGCTGCAGCTCAGGGCAATGGCAGACCAGATTGTGGGTCTCCAGCCTTGCATGGCTGGCAGCTGGATCCTGGAGCAACCCATCTGGTCTCTTGAATAAAGGTCAAAGCTGGATTCTCGCCATGGCCTCTGTCTCACTTGTTTCAGACAGTGGGCCAGTAGCCCTTTGGTACAAAGCCACCTGAGAGGGCAAACTGACTAGCTGGACATGGGTCCAGTCAGGGCAACCCCAATAGCACACTTTGGTCTAGAGGCTATTAGGATTCCAGGCCAAGGCCCAAGTATTGGGAAAGCAAGAGACACAGAAGGTCCCAGAGGTTTGTCAGGGAGTTAGTTCATGATTGGCAGAGGGTAATCAGCACTGTGATTGGTTTGTTTGTTTGTTTTTAAGAGGCAGGCAAGCCAGAGGAAGGTAAATTTCTAGCTCTGGCAAGATACCTAGAGCCTGGCCTGTGGCTCTACAGTAAGAAAGGCAAGGAATCTGTCAGGTGGTAGCTGGGCACCAGAAAGAGACATGATTGATACAGGTTGAGTGAATAATATACAACACAGACCAAACATGGTTGCCTAGGCAGCTCTGTAGCATACAGATAAGTGCCTACACCAAGCATAGCCCCTTTTCCACGCCCAGGGACTAAGGTTTCAGCCCTGCCAATGGCTGGGGTGGCTTCAGGTCTATGGCCTTTGGACACAGGCTTCAGGTTTTTCGAGTTCAGCCTTCACCATCACTGTCTTCTGCCAGCACAGGGCTGGGGCCCTGGGGGGAGTGTACAGGGGCCAGGATGGAACCAAAGAAAAGTGAGCGAAACTGGAAAGAGAATAGAGAAAGCACAGTTAGTTCTGGAGGCTAACTTCTCCCTTCCTCACCTCATACTTCCCACCCCAACTCCAGCTCCTACCTTCTTAGGTGGAGGAGTCCCAGGCACTGTACTGGGCTCAGCTTCCTCCTCCTCCTCCTCTGAGGGGGGGACAAGGTCATGGGAGGGCTGGGAGACAGGTGGGAGGGAAGTGGAAGGCTGTGCCCGGGAGCCCTCACTGCCCACGGTGGTTTCCATGGCAATCATGTAACAGTCGATGTCATCATTGGTAAAGTCATCTAAGTGGGGTATGCTGTAGGCAGAGACAATATCAGAAGGAAGAGGGACACAGAGGCAGGCCAGGGTGTGAGGCCTCAAGACTGCTGGTAAGCTTTTGGTTTTATTACTTCCTGATTTGGCTAGGAAGAAAGGATGCAGGGGTTAAGTGGGAGCTTCCTGGAGGGGGTGGAACTGGAACCCCTTTGATCAGAGTTCAGGTAGGGGCCTGAGGGAGGCATCCTGGGGGCCAGCTTAGCTCAGTGTGTGTGGGGGGAAGCAAGAAGTTCTGTGAACAGGGCCACATGGGGCCCAATCCCTCACCTCCCCAAGGGATAGGAGCTGGAGAGCACCAGAGCCCAGGGATATGCTGGGCTGTGAGCCAGACCAAACTTCCTCTGCTTCCACTACACTGAGCCCATCCTCCCCAACCCACCTGCCCTTCAGCCACCTGCTTTCCCTGCTCCAGGCCGCTCCCTGGCTCCCAGCGGCCCTTTCCCTCCTAGCCTGGGAGGAGGCTCAAAAGGGAGGCCTCAGCCAGAGAAGGAAGCCAGCAGGACCTTGGGGATGCCTCTTTTGGATGGGAGGGGTCTCAGTACAGCTGACCATGAAGGCTGGAAGCCCTGTAGAGGCTGAGGCCTGACAGGAAGTAAGTGTGTAAGTGTGTGCTGGGGGAGGTGCAGCAGCTAGCCATAGCAGGCTCAGCCTGAGGTGAACAGAGAGAGGGAGAGCTGGGAGTCCTTACCTGTGAGCCTGCTTCTGAGGCACTGGCTGGCAGGGATTTGGGGAGCACAGGTCCTGGGAACATGGGTCTTGCTCTAAGAGTGTGGCCAAGACAAAGTGACTATCCAGCAAAGAATCCTCAATGGTAAAGATGACTGGCCTGGATAAAGGAATGGTGGTGAGCTAGGTCATCCTGCTCTGCTCTAGGCATCCCAGAGCCCAACCTCCTCCCCAGTCTACAAGCCTAGAATTACCTGCCTGGAACATCAAAGTGGACTGTAAGAGGCAAGTTTGCTGATTCTGCAAAGCTCAGGAGCCCCTGGGATGGAAGAAGCAGGTAGTAAGAGCCTGTATCAGGTTGAAAGACCAGGTGATGGTGCTGGCGAACTCACCCGAAATTCCTTGAGGCAGAAAGTGACCGCTATCCCTTCTGGGGCATGCAACTGCTGGAAGTCCTCCTCCCCAATGCTAGTCTCAGTGACCATGGCTTTGTTGGTGCTATCTATGGGGCAGGCACAAGAGGAGTTAAAAGTCCTTGAGTTCTTGCCTCACCCCAGCTCTGTTCACTCTTGGGGCAGGTCTAATTCCCTCACCTGCCTCCTCCTCCTGGTAGCTGCGCAGGATGACCCGTCGGCCATGGCCAATGCCCAGTGTCACCTCAGTCAGTGCAGGGGGAAAAGACAGAACAGCCTCTGCCAGAACCCTGTGACAAGGGAAACAGCAGATGGGCACAGAGTGCTTTGCCCACTCTTGAGGACAGGAGAGATATGAGTCAGGTATGTTACCTGCTTGGTCAGAAACTAAATAAAACTAATGCCTAGACACAGAAGAAGAATGGGCAGGCAGCACTGCATGGTGCAGGAACAAAGGGCTATTTGCTAAAGGACAGAGAAACTTGACTAGCAGGGCAAAGGCCTGGTGCATCCCTTAGTACAAAAGGGGGACATGCAAAGCTGGGTGTAGTGTTAGTTGCAGCTACTTTGAGGGGTGGGAGGGGCTGTTTAAAAACAGGTTCTCTTGCTGACTTCAAACTTGGAGCAATTCACCTGCCCTCTTAACTCTTCTTGAAGAGCTGGGCTCACAGGTGTGCACCACCATACAACCCAGCTACTGAACCCAAGAACTCAAGAGCAGTTTGTATAAAATAGCAACATCCTGTAGACACACAAAAATGGAAAAAGGGTAGATCCTTTTTGGGGTTTTGGGTTTTTTGAGACAGGGTCTCTATATAACTTGGGTTGGCCTGGAACTCAGAGATCCCCCTGCCTCTGCCTCTCAAGTAATGGGATTAAAGGTGTGGGCCACCATGCTACCAGGCCTTGGCTCCTGTCTTCTAAGAATACATATTGCTGAACATTTGCAAAAAAGTAACACCTAGATTTGCTTCAAGGCAACTCTGGGAACTGGAAATATAGCTCCATGGAATGTACAGTCTTTGGGTTACAGCCCTAGCACTGGGAAGTGGGGGAAAGAGCACCTGGCATCTATATTTGAATTTTTAAAAATTATTTTGTGTGGGTGTGTATTGCTGGGGAGGGAAGAGGAGCTCAGATGCCCTGGTGCACATGTGGAGATCAGCAAACAACCCACAAGAGTGAGTTCTTCCACCATGTAGGTTCTGAGGATTTTAAGCCTGATAATTCAAGTTGTCAGGCTTAAAGCAATGACCTTGGGGCTGGAGAGGTACCTCAGTGGTTAAGAGCGCTGACTGCTCTTCCAGAGGATAAGGGTTCAATTCCCAGCAACCGCCGGGCCGGGCGTTGGTGGCGCACGCCTTTAATCCCAGCGCTCGGGAGGCAGAGGCAGGTGGATCTGTGTGAGTTCGAGGCTAGCCTGGTCTCCAGAGTGTGTGCCAGGATAGGCTCCAAAGCTACACAGAGAAACCCTGTCTAGAAAAACAAAAAACAAAACAAAAAAATTCCCAGCAACCACATGGCAGCTCATGCTGGTCTGTGACTCCAAGATCTGACACCCTCACATGGACAAAACACAAATGCACATAAAATAAAAATAAATTTAAAAAAATACATTAAAAAAAAAAGCAGTGACCTCAACTGCTGAGCCAGCTTACTGACTTCTATATTTGAAATTACATGAGAAGGAGAAGCAGTTGAGGCTGGGAATTAATCTCTGTATAAGAGAGTACCTAACAAGCACAAGGTCCTAGGTTCTGTTGTCAGTATTGAGGGAAGAAAAAATAAGACAAAATTGCAACTGCTGAGCGGGATGGTGGTGGTGCAGAGGCAGGTGGATCTCTGAGTTTGAGGCCAGCCTGTTCTACAGAGTGAGCTCCAGGACAGCCAGGGTTGTTTAACAGAGAAATTCTACCTAAAAAAAAAAAAAAAAAAAAAAAAAAAAAAGGAATTGCTAATTTTTAGTAAGAAACAGTCCCTAGTGCCTTTTTCTTTCCAAAAAGCAAGTCCAGGCCGGGCATTGGAGGCAGACACCTTTAGTTCCAGCACTCGGAGGCAGAGACAGGCGGATCTCTGTGAGTTCAAGGCCAGTCTGGTCTACAGAGCTAGTTCCAGGACAGGCTCCAAAGCTACAGAGAAACCCTGTCTCAAAAAAAAAAAAAAAAAAAAAAAAAAAAAAAAAAGCAAGTCCATCACTACTAACAGACCCTAGGGAAGCTGACATTGGGACCTGAAAAGACTTTCAGTCACTCTGAGAAATGAATGGGATCTTGGGCTAGGTGGATGAAAACAGTGTCCAGCACAGGCAAGATCCCTGGGCTGGTCTTCAGGGATCTTCACTCTGCTGGAGCCCACATCCTCCTTACCCTGCATTCTCTTGATGTTGACAGGTGAATTGCTCAGCAGCCCTCCTAGATTCCAGCCTCCTTGCCCTGCTCTTCCCTTGGCTCAGTTTAGACAGAGTCCCAGCAGTTAGGAAGCAGCTGCTTTAAGAGGGACACTACCAGAAAAATGAACATGTCATAGGGCTTTGGAGCTGTGATGCAGGTCAAGGACAGACCTTCAAGGCTATTGAGGTCAGAGATCCGTAGGCAGATCACATATCCTCTCTAGGAAAGTGGTCAAAGCGTGTCTGAGCATCAGAGAGCCAAGCTAGGCCTCTGGGATACAGAAGACAGGACCCCACCATCAGTGGGAATGGGAAGAGGCAGCAGCCTGTTTTTGAAGAACCAGGTAAGGGCCCAAATGTTCACTGTGCACAGAACCCCCAAGAAGCCCTCATAAAGTGGTGTCTTTATGTGTATTCTGCATGAACATATACGAGCAGAAGCCAGACTTCCTCAGGTGGTGGTTCTCAGGTTTGTCCACTTCATTTTATTTGAGACAGGGTCTCTTACTGGCCTGGGGTTGTGAGCCCCAGGAATTCAGTTTCTAACCACCCCCCGACTAGAATTACAAGTGGACACCACACATTTTTATATGAGCTCTGGGACTCAAAACAAGGTCTTCATTCTTGCACATCAGACATTTTACTGAGTTATCTCCCCAGCACACACACCCTTCTTTGAGGCAGTCTTATATTATCTAGGCTAGTCTAGAAATTCACTGGTCTTGAAACTCCTGGTCCTCTCGACTCCATCTAAGAACAGATGGGATGACAGACATAAAACCATGCCTGTTGAAAATGGTGCATTCCCAGTATGACACTCAAAAGCCCCAAAGATGGAAGAGACTCAGGCTAAGCTTGAAGGAGGGTGTACTGACCGTGCTGGTGCTCGGAGCAAGTGGGGGCACAAGGCTGGGTTGAAGACAGCCTGCAGGGATTCACAGTCTTGGAAGGAGAGGTTGTGTGTTTTCTTGACCCCTGGATAAGGAAAAAGGGTCTCAGTGGGCTTGACAACTTTCATTTCACTCCCCCACACCCATGGAGGGAACTCTTGGCTGGCCAGCTGTGTGCTCACCATACTTGCAGTGGAGCTGGACCACAAGGTGGCTGTTGCTGCTACTGAGGGAGATGCAGCACTTTTCCACAGTCTTCTCCACCATCGCCAGAGAGCGGAAGACGGACAGGAAGGACTGGGCAAGGTAGGACATCAGCCTGGCACTGTGCCTCCATGGACCAGCTCTACATTCCATGTAGGTCCTGGTCCATCACTGGCCCAGCAAAGCTTTACATGGGGCTCCCACTACATGCAGGATGTCTGTACACTTCCAGGCCTTGTCCATGCTTTTCCCTTTGCAGGAAGGGCTGCTAACCTTTTCTTGACTAACTTGCATGTCACCACCCTCTCCACAGATCTTACAAACCTCTAAATTGCAGACATCTTTACATCACTGCATTTTGCATGGAATTGCTCCCATATGAGGCTAACTCCCTAGTAATTATTTACTGAGTACCCTGGCACAGAGGCACAGCTGTGGAGATGCTTCAGATGGTCCTCACCTTCATCAAGATCTTACAGCGCAGCAGGTCCTGACCAGGGGAAGCCGCCTGGTACTGCTGGAAGAAGAGCGGGACAAAGAGGAAGCAGGCATAGGCAGAACGGGAAGAGTTCACAGTCCTTAGAGAGAGCTAAGATACAAAAAAACAAGTAAGATAGGAGTTAGGGGCAACAGCAGGCCCACCCCAGCCTAATGGCCTGCTCTTTCATCCTGAGGCCGTCCTCTTCCATTGCTTACTGAAACTCCCTTTCTCTCTTCTGTGTAGCACGACCTCCTGCATGTGAACTTTCCAGTGTCTGCGGCCCAGGATCTGCCATGCTTGCTGTCCCCCTAAATTACTTCAGCACCACCCTGCCTGTCACTTTAGGGAGGGCACGTTCCCTCTGTACACACATGCAGCCTCGGAAGACAAGGCCCAAACTGATGCCCTCAAAACCCAAGAGGAAACAACTCCGCCAAAATACCTGCCCACCCTCATTATGCAAGGCCGAGAGCCAGCGCCAAGTCTAGGCTTCCCACTCCCCATTGAATCGCCCTCACCCCTGAGTTCGAGCCTCTTACCCCGTCCTTCAAGGGTTCCAGATAGAGCTCGTCCCCGATTCGGGATAGCGAATGGACAGCCTTGCCCAGCACTTCGAGGAGATCAGAAAAAGATTAGGGAGATTCTTCCGGCTTGCTCACGTGCCCCGCCGCCGGGTATATCCAAACTCACCCTTCACGTTGCCGCCGGTGATCAGGCACTTCATGGCTCACCAGCACTGAACTCGACCCTAATTTGCAACCATACCGGGACAGGACACGACCCACACCGAGTCCCAGCGGCCACTACGGATGACTTCAGTTCCCTTCCCGCGCGCCGTCCCCTACACACACACCCCAGCCCAGCCTCGGCATCCTTATTGGTCCACCCAAGGCACCTCCGTCACGTGAGAAAAACGTTCCTTGGCCCGGGTGTCACATGATTCAGTCAGTTCCCGGGGCGTGGCCTTTGTCACGTGACTCCAGAGTCAGCTCCTGACTCATTCATCAGGTCTAGGTTTCCCTTCCCAACCCTAACCTTCCACTCCTTGCAAAGCCCTGCAATTCCACTGGGCTCCGCTGGGCACACGGGACGAAGCTCCGAGGAGCAAGGTGCCTGCTGCACCAAGGATCAAGCCTTGGATCAGAGTCCAAACTTGGGAGGAGTAGACCCTCCCGGTTCCTTAACTTAAAAGGGGCTACAGGGTCAAAGCAAGACAGGCCGCGCTCAATCTGGGTTGAGCAATCTGTCGTGGCTGCAACCACCAGCTCCCCACAAAAGTTAACTTGCTTCAAGAGCCAGGCGAAGGAAGGGGCTGTTCATTCTGGTTTCACTGATCTACGTAAATGCATGGAAAGATCAGGTTCTGGGGCAGAAAAGGGTAGGATGGACCTGACAGGAGGTGCAGTGGAGTGAGGCACTCTATGAGTAGGGGCATATGGGTAGGTGGGGTGTCCTGAGCCTTGCAGGGGGTTTGGGGCTGAAGCAGTAACTGGGAAGGAAGCTCTGGGAAGGTTTAAGCACTACACATGATATGTGTGCACTTTACCATTTACCCTAGACAGTGTGAAAGGATGAGGGTTATCAGCTGGAAGGCATTCACTTGCCCTGGGTTAGTTCCCTCAAGCGTGGAAGGGGCTGCCTGGAGCCCCTTGCATTACCCCTGTGGTACTGTGGGTAATGGAGGGGCTCTGTTTATTACCCAGGCCCTCTTTGTTTTTCTGGGCTCCTCTCCCTCCCTCCTAGGAGGAAGTTGCTTTCCCTTTCCACATCCAAGGCAACCAGTGTAAATGTAGAAGCCTTCAGCTCATTAGACTAGGAATTAGCTGTTAGAGTCCTCCTCTCCCCACTTGCTCAGTTCTTCAGTAATTCCTGACTGCTTCATCTCCAGAACAGATGGCAGCATCCCGTCCCCCCTCCCACCCTCTTCATCTCTGCTGCCTTTCCTTCACCTGGTCAAACACACAGTTCCCAGTGATCTGCCTCCACTGCTTTAACTCTCCTGGCCAGAGTCCAGTCTCTAGATCTTGAACTTGCAGGATCCAGACCCCATCCATGTCTCCCCCTGTGATCACCTATCTCCAAAGTCCTGTCAGGCCCTTTGATGGCCACTTGAGCTGCTTCTGAGGCTGTGGCCTTCTGCCTCTTTCACGCTGGCTTCTCTTCCTGGGCTCAGCAGCAATGGTTCCCTTTGTAGCCATGGTGCTTATCAGTTTTCCTATGTGTTTAGTATTTGTGTTCTCTGATAGTGTGGCAGCTGCATGTGGGCAGTGATTGCTTCTGTTTTGTTTTTCTATCTGTGTACCTCAGACACAGCCTAGGATTAATAGGTATTAAGCCAGGTATGATGATGGCTCAAATTAATTCTTACCACTAGGGAGACTGGGAACTTGAGAGGCCAACCTGAGATACATAGCAAGACTCTGTCAAAAAAACAAAAACAAAAACAAAAACAAAAAGTTCATTTAAATATGTGTCACAGTTAGGCCAGGGAGGCAGAGGCAGGAGGATCTCTGTGAATTCGAGGCCAGCCTGGTCTACACGGTGAATTCCAGGACAGCCAAGGATACACAGAGAAACCCTGTCTCTAAAAACAGCCCCCACAAAAGGAAAGAATTCTACCCCCAGAGGCCATGGTGGAACAAGGAAAGGGCTGATTTCTGACTTCCACAATTGCTCTGTGGCAAGCAAGTGCCAGCACTCTCAAACACACGAAGGGGCTGGAGAGGTGGCTTAGCAGTTAACACTGGCTGGTTTTCCAGAAAAACTGGGTTCAATTCTCAGCACCCACATGGCAGCTCACAACTGTCTGTAACTCCAGTTCCAGGGGATCTGACACCTTCACACCAATGCATATAAAATGAATTTAAATAATTAAAAACACATTAATAATAGATGAAAAATAAAGGACTGTTATGTATCTCTGAGTAGAGCACTTGCCCCACATTCAAAAAGCCCTGGGGAAAACTGGGCATGGTGGTGGAGCATGTCTTTAATCCCAGCAATTGGGAGGCAGAGGCCATTGGAAGCTAGCCTCACCTACAGAGTGAGTTCCTGGGCAGCAGGAGCTACACAGAGAAACACTGTTCCGAAAACAAACACAATCCCTAGTAGTACACTGACACAGATTTAGCTGTTGATTTCCTGTTTCTTCCTCCAAAGATATCCTCCCACCCTAGCCAGGATTGGATAAGTGTGGTCCTCAAACATTCTCTATATCCTCCCCTGTCCCGGCCCCCTACCCCCTGCCTGAGCAACCACACTCGACAGGAAGCAGACCCTAAGCTCCCTGGAGGTGAGGGAGAAGGCTGCTGACTGTTTCTGTCGTCAGACACTGGGCTGTAAGATGCTGTTGGCCTGAAGTCATATGCACTAGAAAAAGGAGACAGGAGATACTTTGGAGTGGTCACCCTCCCGCTCTCCTGCTCAGTGCTGGAAACCATTTGTACCTTCTGCTGTGCACAGGGCTGGGGGAGAACAAGGTACACAGAATGCTTACCCCGACCCCTGCCAACCTGACAGATGCTGAAGGGCTTCCCTGTGCTGTGATCCCGGGAGACAAGCTACATCTAGGATATGCTCCCCATGCCGTGCCTGGGCTGTGAGTCTAGCAGGAAGCTTCCCAGTCCACCTCTCCGTATGTAGTTGGCACTTCTGCCCCAGAAACACAGTGGGAGAGGGGGAGCTGGGACCCATGGAAACCTTGTCATATTGGGTGGGACATGGATCACCCAAACAGGACTTGGGTCAATCCTGAAAGTTAGGAGAGCCAGGTGTGGCTCCAACTCTACTCATTGACGGCCTGGAGCAAGTCAAGACCTCTCTCTGCATCTCCATTTCTCCCTCAAATGCACTTGGATGAGATGATCTCTCAGGGTTCAACCCCCAAATTTACAGCCCTCACCTTACCCACATTAGAGGAAACTTCCTACAAGTAGGTATATCTGTGTGAACACAATGTATCTGGGGATAGTGATGACAGTGGTTACCATTTCAAACCTTAAAGTCATTATCTTCAGGGATCCCTTCTCTTCTATTGACACTCCTCGCCAAGCTGGTTAGGGCTGAATCATAGGAAACCCAAAACTGGTACTTGGTACTCAGCCATTCACTAGTTCAACACATACTGGGTGTGATTTTCCAAGCATGGCACATCCAAATACTCCTCCCTGCTCTTGGAGGAGTATTTGGATGACAGGTGCTGGGGGTGGGGGCTGGATGGGACAGAAGGACACTGATGGAGGAGAGCCTCTTCTAGAAGACCATGGCCTGGAGCCCTGAGGAAGTGAGCTGCACCAGTGAGAGTCAAAGCTCTGGCAGTGGGACTGAAACTAAGGGGACACAGCTGACAAAGAACAGAGGCTCATCTAAGCCAGTGTGAAACTGCACCTCGGAGAAGGCCAGGAATCTGTGGCTCTAGGAACATGCTGTCAGACAGTCAGGTCCATCATATCAAGAAGGCTCTGTCTCGCCAGGCTGCTGCTGCTGCTGCTGCTGCTGCTGCTGCTGCTGCTGCTGCTGCTGCTGCTGCTGCTGCTGCTGCTGCTGCTGCAGAGGCAGGTGGATCTCTGTGAGCTCAAGACCAGCCTGGTCTACAAGAACTAGTTCCAGGACAGCCTCCAAAGCCACAGAGAAACCCTGTCTCGAACCCCCCCAATTACCCCCACACCCCCGCCATAAAAAAGAAGGCTCTGTCTCTCCATGGTGTGGCCTATGCAGTCCTAATTATAGATGACACAGGTAGGGGTGCTCCAGGGGTTTTGCTAGATTGGAGTAATTAAAAAGCAGAAAAGCGAAGGAGTTTGGGGAGTTAGAGTTCACTTGGGTTTGTCTTGATCTAGGCTGTACATACAAGATATGGCATTTGCCTACTTACTCTGCGATAACCAACTGGACAGGGTAGCTCTGATTGTTGGGACACTAGGAAGGGAGAATGCCACTTAACCTGCTTGTGATGAATGTGTGGCACACCAGGTGCTGCCAGCCCCCACTGCCAAGTCCTGCCCAAGCTTTCTTGTTTCCTGGCATTTGTCCCAGCAATCAGAACAATGTTTGGCAGGTAGCATTGGTTTGATACATTTAAGCTGAATAACTGAAGTGCAAAGATTCAGAACCTTTGCAAGCCTTGAAGGTTGTCTGCTGAGACACGGTATGAGGTCTAGATACCAGGCCTGCCTGGGTCTGAATCATGGCTCCATCACAAGTTATGTGAAAATGGGCATGTGGCTGGTGTTCTTGAAGTCTGAAGTTTCTAATGCATGGACTGAAGTTACTCAGGGTCACTCCTTCCAGGAGCTACTGTGTATAGCTCTTCCAATCTGCTATTGCAAAGATGATGGTGTCCTACCTACACTGTCTGTGTAGTCCATCCTTACCATAGCCTAAGCATCAGAGAGGGCAACAGAGAGACCATCAGTTTAGATACAGGATGAAGCACCCAGGAGTTCTGGAGGAAAGTCCAGTGAAATAGTATAGAGAAAGGTGTGGAGCCCACAGGCTGGCAAACCTTCTGTAGGCTCTGGACGGGGCAGAAGGAAGGATCATCCTTAAGAGCAGCTAAGAAAGCAGGCTGCTGCTGCAGCAAATGCTTTGAACCACCACATGCAGCCCTTCAGTTCTGGGCTTTCGCTGGTCCTTAGCCTCCAGAGCACGGAGAATGGAGTGCTTATGGCTCTCAAAAGCCCAAGGCTCCCACGAGACAAAGATGTGGCCATGCTCCAGACACACAGACACGGTGCACACATGAGGGACCAGGTCTTTTCAGTCTGCGTGGCTGGAAGTGGAAGGGAGATGGAATGGAATTTTTTAAACCCACAGAGGGATGGGAAGGGGGAAGCTCAGCTTGTTCACCAAAACCTGGCATGCTGGAGTTACAGGGCCCCCTTGGAGTGCAAGTGAGGTAAGTTTAGGACAAATCAAAGGCAGCATGCTTCACCCAGCAGGGGAGGATACCGATGGAACTCATTAGCCCAAGATGTGGTCCCGGTTGGAAATATAAATAGCTTCACAAAAGGTTTAGATAAATCCATGGATGACAGCTCCATTCATGAGTTAGAGGGGAAAGAGGCTGTTTGGGGGCCCCCTGGGCAGACATCAGGAAGGCAACCTGACCTCCCTAAAGACCACCCCTTGGTGGTCTTGTTAAAGACAAACTCTGGTCACAGGGAACCCAGCAGGTGATCCTGGTGTTTCTGCACATCAGGGTGTGGCCTGAGCCCCCCAACTGTCTCCTCAACTTCCCCACCACCCACCAGCCACTGCTGGGGAGACAAGGAATCAAACCAGCTTTGGGGAAAGCAGTTCAGCCAGGCTGTCCCCTATGGGACCAGCAGAGGGAGACAGACACCACATCCAGTCCCAGATCCCAGGGCAAGACCAGGGTGGCTGGCCTGACTGGGGTCAAACATACATCTGTGGGTGCTAGTCTTGGGCCCAGCCTTATGACAGGGGGCAGGAAAGGTATTCTCCTAGGGTTTGCTTGTAGGCATGAAGATGGGAAGGGGCTTTCAGGGACATAGGGGCAGAATGGGGAAGGGGTCACTGGTTAAAAGCTGGGTGGCTATGGAGCCAAGTTACCTGCCTCTATGATCTTGAGCAAGTTGTACAATTTGTGCCCTGAATTCCACATGGTAAGATGGCAACTGCAATAGCACATCCCTCAAGAGGATTGTGTAAGATTGTGGGAATTTTTTTTTTTTTTTTTTTACGCTGCCAGGCAGATAGTAAATGCTCAAGTAAACAGTAGCTCCATACATGGGTGGGAGACCAGAAGTCTCTTGGTTCTCCTTGGAGCTTAGCAACTTGCAAAACCTTTACTTCACTTTCTCATGCAAGTCTCACCACAACTCTGAGGATTTTTGAGGTTGACAGGGTCAATTATAGTT